TTCCTATAGGGCAGCTTAGCTCTCTACCTCTCCAGTTCTCGCTGGGGGACTGGCTGTATAGCCAGTCTTCAGGCAGTGTGATCCCAATTTGCATAGGCTCCAGATAGAGTTCCACTAATGTGGCTGTCTATTCTGTGGAGATGCAACTGGGCATAGCAACAGGGTTTTTTCCAAGGCAGCTATGGAGTATCCATTACTGTAATCTGAGGTAGAGCTGTGTTTGTGTTAAATGTGGTGGTGTGGGAGGAGCCTTAGGGTACCAGTGGGAAGAAGCCTGTTTCTTTGAAAATGCCCACGTTTCTGGCATGGCAAAGCAAGGACTGTACTTGACCTGGATATCACCTTTAGCAGTTCTCCAACCTGCTCAAGGATTAAGAGGCATTGAGGTGAATTGATGCCTGCTGTCTGGTTCAAGGGAAGCCTGTCTACTGCAGAGGACAGCCCACTTGATAATGGATTAATTATAAAAGGCTCCAGATGTAAGTACTCAACCAGAATGGTCTTTCAGGCTTGCTATGGTAGTAACCCATGGTATCTTAACTGAAAGTTTGATTCGTGTTACTAGCTCACTTCCCCATGCAGGGAAATTCTTCATATTAGCACTCTGGAAATATTCCACACATTGCAGTGTGGAAAAACCTGCTTCTCCTTGGCAGAACGCGGGAGGCTCTGAATGGACCCAATGTTCCTGGAGTGTGTGTGGCTGGTTCTGAACCTCTGTTCTTGTGCTGAGCGTGTCTGTATTGCAAGCTGCTGAAAGTCCATCTATGCAAACGATTCCCTGGCTTGAAGGCCCCGGTAATGTGGTCACTGTCCATAGGGGCATATCTGTCTGCAGAGCTTTGTAGAACCAACGCAAGGCTTTTGTGGCCTCTTTCTATATCGAGGGAGTGTTGCGTGAGGTGACTTACAGCTAATGTAGATGCAAGATTAACGTTCTTGGTGCATGACCTTAGAGTGCTGTAACTATAGCTACAAAAGATTGGTCCTAATGCTTGGACTACACTTGATCCAAACCCCAGGCTGCTCGAGTATTGACAGTGAATATCAGAGGCAAAGCTCTCCTCAAAGTCCTGGCAGTGACAAGACTACAGCTGTCTCCAGTCCTTGCTGAAGCTGTTGCCTATATGGCAGGTTACTTCCTAGCTCATAGTTCATCTTGGAACTGCACACCTCTGCTACCTCTGCAGCTGCTTGTGGCTAATAGAAAGTAGGAGCTGTGGCAGGGTGCCAGGCAGCATATCCACAGCCCTGTGGGAGTGCATTTTGCCCCCAGGAGCAGTGCTAAATCGAACTCTGGCTTGTGAGTTCGAAGAGTTACTCTTCAGAAGTGTTTCCAAATCAGGTTAACCTTTGAAATGTGCTTATTGGGGGTAGGTGGTCTTGAATGATGTGTAAAGCAATTTCTCTGTATCATAACACCATTGAACTTAACAAATGGCACAGTTCCTGGTTATAAACCAGAATGGTTTTCTTCTGTGATAAAGCCAGGTAGGCAGATCTCTGCCTCTCTGGCTGCCAGGTAAATGTTTTGATAGCCCCATGTTTGTATGCTTTAAAGGTGATGTTGCAGCTTGGCTGGTCTCTTAGAGGTGATGGAGCTGTGTGATCTGAAGCGAATATGTGGAGGCTTGGTGTGTGACAGTGGCACAGCTCTTGTTCTGTTTTCACTGTCCTCCACATAGATCTCTTGAAACCCTGTTCACTGAGAAGGTTTTTGAAGACATGTCCTTCAAGTGCCACATAGCCCATAACCAGATAGCTCTGCCATCAGGTGGCTGTCATGATGGGAAGCAGTTCTTTGCCACCTGGGCTGCAATATTGGGGTGTTGTCCAAGGTGCAAGAACTTCTCAGGCTAGTGAAGTAAGACAAGCTGCCTTGTGAGATACTAGAGGTGCAGCTGCAGGGGACTCCAGTGTAAGCCTGTTGGTCAGGATGCTGATAAAGACTTCACTGGGAGCAGATGTGCCAAGCTCTGAAGCTGCATGTGTAGCACCTGTGACTGTCCACCACTGGGAATGTAGTAGATCTTCAGTGCCATCTAGAACTGTAATGTCAAAACTAGCTGTCAGGGTACACGTAGGCTTTGCTTGTTAATGTGTCTGGACTAAGTTGAAGGTATAAGCTCTTGCTTGTTCCCTAGAATTGGGATTTAACAACTGGGAATTGGCAAGCTTGTGCGGATGTGCCCCTCCCCAAAAGCTTAAGCAGGCTGGCTTTCTGTAAGTGAGATTACAAAATCAGCTTCTGTAATCCATCACTGCATTAATTGCAACGCCTTGGAGGAAGTAATGACTGATGTAATTTTGGATAGTGAACTTGTCTCACGTGCCTTTTTCTGGAGAGATTTATAAAAGACTCCAGACAAGAGAAGTGGTTTCTGCTAAATGCTACAGCCAATCAAGATAGCCTGGATCTTGATTCCACTTACTTCCCCTTAGAGGATGCTTTGTCCAACAGAAAAGGCTCATAATTCCATTTAGTGATTCCTTTCTAGAGGCTAGACCCTTAAACAGTACCATCACTGATGTTGCTAGCTAAGTCCGTGTGCTAGTTCCCAGGCTCAGCTTACATTTGCAGGTAAATCCTGACTTCTGCTCTTGGCTCAGGCTTCCTGCTGAGCTGGATTCTAGTTCTGGATAGTGCTGAACAGTCCTTCATGTCTGGCTCAGCCACAGTCAAGGTTCAAGAGCTTTGCTAATACAGAACCAATTTGTGGTTGATAATGAGGGTATCCCTTCCAAGTGTTCGTGACTAAAACTGAAGTTCCTTCTGATGGTGAGTCTTGGGTTAGTGCAGCAGTGCCACCTTTGTTAATCTTGTGAAGTTTCTGAGTGCAAAGCCAGGAGAATTACTGCTCAGTGATAGGCTTTATGTAAATACTGAGGGGAAAAGCAGGAAAGCATGTCCTAGACCCTTTGAATACCTCCCAGCAACTCTTCTAGGTGAGATACACCGTGTCACACTTGGATGCTGGTATAAGGCAGCTACAGATCCTTGTGGAACAAGCAGCTCTCCCTTGTAGCAACCTTAGTTTTTAAGCAGGTGGAGCAAACTCAAATAGTTAAGTCTCTGAAGAGTATAAAGATTAGAAATCTCCATGGTTTTAATAATCTCCAGTAGCCTTTTAGAACCAGGCAAGAGCATTTTCTTGCTAAATAGGACTGTTACTTTTGAGTATCACTCTGATGGTGTCTGTCAGACTACCTCTCCTTCCATGCACCTTGCAGTGCTGCTTCAAGGACTTAGTCCTGGATGACAGCTGAGCTGACCTGTGGATCTTCTCCTGGCTGATGGTGAGTGTAGTCCAGAGTTAAGGGGTTCATAGAGTACTCCAGAGCAAGATTGGAAGGAAGGGAGTCTTTGCAAGTACTTCAGGATCAAAGAATGGGATATCTGTGGAAGCTTTTGTGAGACTAATACAAAGTTTTCAAGGCAGAAGTTACTACTTGGGGTAATGCTTTGAGACTCTTGTAGTAGCTCTCAATTAGAGGTGATAAGCCCATCTTCTGCTTTGAAAACCAAGCTTTGGATTCCTGTGTTGGTCTCTATGCTCAAGTGTTTCCACAGGTGATGAGTGAACTGTAGGGGTGAGGTGGTTGTGGTCTGCTATAACCTGCAAGCCATACTTTACTTTGTGGTTCCAGTGGTTGGATTAATAAGTCTTTAGACCTGAATCCTTCACAGGTGAGGTATTGACACATGAAGAGGGTGTCCTTTCTCCAAGGAGTGAAGGGCAGCAAAAACATGTGAGTTTGTTGCTACCTCAGTGTGCCTGATGAAGCTGAAATGGCATGTTTAACCCTGGGCAGATGAGTTTTGTGGGAGAAGGCCCATGAAGGTGACTTGTTAAAGACTGGGTGTATCTGAGAGCTCAGCCCAAGCGGCTTAAAGTTCAGTGACTGTAAAACCTGACTTTCAGCTGGGTTCCATCCTTCCTGCTGGGATATAAAGATGTGCTTTGCTGTGTGTCCTCTGCAGTTCAGTTGAGTAGAGCCTTGCAGTATGGGCTCTGAGGGCACAGACTCTGAGATGAGTTAAGTTTTGGACCTTGGCTTTTGTTTCCTAAACAAGGAATGAGTATCTGCTGGGGAGTGTACCCTGCTGTGAAGGCAGTATAGAGAGGAGGTTCTGTTATCAGCACCTTTTTATTGGTGTAGCTTTGGTCTAGGACTCTGGATAGATCACTTCCTCATGCCTTAGGGGAATATTCCTGGCTGACACCAAATAGTCAAGAGATCATTTTGCGCAGTTTTTCCTTGATGTCCTGGTTTCAGCTGGGACAGAGTTAGCTCTTCTTAACAGTCAGAAGAGCTCCATGTTTTGGTTTTAGTCTGGGACTTGCTCTGAGAAGAACGCTGACAGCGCACTGATGTTTGTAGTTGGCACTGAGGTCTCAAGGACTTTCCACTTGCCAGTGTGCAGGAGCACAACAGGATAGGGGGGAGCATGGCTGGGATGGGGAGTCCACGACTCTCCTTACGATTTGTACTTAGATTTAGGATTGAGGCCAAACTGCCCAATTAGTATTCCATATCCTGCAGCATCATGTCCAGGATAAAAGTGAGGGTCAGCTGGAAAGAACAGCCTTTGCTCATGTGGAACTCTTACTTTTGGAGTGCTCTCTATTTTGGGGCCTCTCACTCATCTGGGATTGCAGTATTGGGATTTATCTATTTCAGGATTGTTAGTTTGGGATGAGACAGACCTCAGCCAAGGGGTGGTGAGCAATTACACTGTACATCACTTGTTTGTATATATTTATCATTGTACATATCTGTATATATTCATATGTTAGCAGTAGTATTAAATTGTATCTCAACCCATGGGTCTCTTTCCTTTAATTCTCTTCCCCATCCCTGGGGGGTGGGGGAGGGTGAGTGAGTGGCTGTGTGCAGTTTAGTTGCCGGAGCGACCTAGACCATGACACTTGTGCTAACTGTTCTACTACTGCAGCCTAGTGAAGGAGATGGTGTTTGGGGATGTCTAATGCATTTTTTCTCTTCCAGCCTTGGGAGCTGCATATGGAACAGCAAAGAGTGGCACGGGTATTGCGGCCATGTCTGTCATGAGGCCTGAGCTCATCATGAAGTCCATCATCCCTGTTGTCATGGCGGGTATTATAGCTATCTATGGCCTTGTAGTGGCAGTCCTCATTGCCAACGCCCTCTCAGCTTCTATCACGCTATTCAAGTAAGTTGCTGCATCTGTCAGTTTTGCTCGTTTGTCCTGTCACTGTTTTGATGCTGCTGAATGGGTGGATTTTGCTCCAGACCCCTGGAAGGACTGTCAGTGCTGAATGCTCTGAACCTGGGCTGAGCAGCATGGACTGGGTTTCAGCTGTCCTACCTGATGCCTTAGCCTCAGTGGTCATGCTGCCTGATGAGTTTGCTGTATTAGCTAACAGATCAGACATCCCACTGCTAGGGAGAATGCTGCAGTGGTTTGTGACTTGAAAGATACTGTGTACAGGCAGTACTGGGATAGGAGGCTAAGCTTGTTTCATGGTGCCAAATTCTAGACCTGCAACACACAAGTCTTTCCAAGACTGTCTAAATAGTTCTCTTGTTGCCTGGGAGATGCAAGTGAATAATTAATACTGCTTACTGCTTTATGTGCTGGTAAATTAATTGTCAAGCTATGCATCAGGCCTCTATACCAGCTACAGTCTGAAACTTGATCTACTCTTGGCTTTTGACAGTAGCTGGAACTGGCTTGATTGAGACCTCTCAGAAGAAAACAATGCTTCTGAGGTCTAACAGTAGATATCTGTGTTGCTGTATGAGCTATAACTGATGAGCAGTGTGGTTGGCCTAATAGGCCATGGTCTGAGAAACTGCAGGTACAAATACTCCTTTGCAGTTACCAGGTGAGTGAAGACTGATAGGGACTGCTGCTCAGGTACCTGCCTGTAAAACCAGACCATTCCTGTCCAACTCCTGCAGTGCAAGAGACCTAATAATCACCTGGATGTGCTCTGGTTGTATAATAGGGTTGCTACAGGTGGTTGACAAAAGCAGGTTACTCAGCACTGTGGGACAGGCATTACTGCAGGCACTAGCCCACTTGGCTGAGTAAGTACAGCTCTGGCACCATGCTGAGCCTGTGGCTGGCCGAAGTGGCCACAGACAAGTCAGGTGGCCATGTGAACGTGCAGGCCCAGTAACTTAGCTTAGTGTATGAGCCAGACCTGAAATACCAGCTAAAGATCTTGTGTAGCTGCCCAGAGCTAGAAGCCTCAGGAAGCATGTGCTTGTTTAAAGTGTGTGTGAAGCTCTTTTGCAGGAAAGGGATTCCCCTTTAAATGTTAATTCTTATTTCCTTTGGGGAGTGCAAAAAAAAGGCTAGTCTGAAGTCGAAGGGTTGAATGTCCTGTTATTTGCCACTGAAACTGTTTTCATCTCTGTCCTACAGGAGCTTTCTTCAGCTGGGTGCTGGCTTGAGTGTGGGCCTCAGTGGTCTGGCTGCTGGCTTTGCCATTGGCATCGTGGGTGATGCAGGTGTACGGGGCACAGCACAGCAGCCCAGGTTATTCGTGGGCATGATCCTGATTTTGATCTTCGCTGAAGTCTTGGGTCTCTATGGCCTCATTGTTGCCCTTATCCTCTCCACAAAGTAAAAGTTGCAGTATGATGTAAAGAGATGTAACAAATCCACATTTAAAAAAAAGCTCCAGAATGAAAATGGTCTTTCCAATGTGTACAGTTGTCCCAATCTGGTAGTTGATCTCTTGTAAATGCGCAATGTATGTTAGTGACTCGTCTGTCCTGTGTGTACTTCAATATTAAATTGGATGGGCTGCTCCAAGCCTGCTGCATGGCTTGGGGTGGCCTGTGTGCAATTTTCCACCCATTGCTGTTAGTACTTTATGTATAAATATGAACCAGAAATGTAATTTTTTCTCTTCACTGGATGTTTATTTCTAAAAGACTTGACATGTTCATACATCTATGGAGCAAGGATTTTCAATTTCCCATGCTATATATTAATCTTATATATAGGTAGATTACACTGTGGGGTCAATTGTAAGTGCAGAGAATTCCTTGGATGTAACTTTGATTCTAAAGATTGCTGTAGTGTCCTGGTATTGGAGTATGAGAATTTCGTGTTTTATTACAGCAATTGTCCGAAACACTCCTGTGTTTCAGTAGTAACTGCGTATGCTCCGGCATCAGAGTCGTGCACCCACTGTTGGGTTACAAACTTATACCATGTTTCCAAATAAAACTTCCTCACTACATTGCTGTAATGAGTCCTCTGCCTCTGATTTTGTGCTTTTGCTGCTCCCTCAGGAAGAGGAGGGGTTCCTTTAGGGGGAGGCAGGTTCCTGAATGACCGAGTGCCATGCACAAGTGATGCTGTCATCGCTGCTAAGCTGTTCCCTTTTTCTCCTGGGCAAGCAGCAGTGCTGTTTCCAGCTGCTGCCTGTGGGCAGTACTTGTGGTGAGCAGTGTTGCAGTGCTGTGCTCACCCTGGTCAGCCAGCACATCTTTGCTCTGGCCCATGGTCATGCATGAAATAGATGGTGCGGCATGGCCTGAGCACAGATCAGGGAGCAAGGGTGCAAGCTTTGGCATGAGACAAGGAACAGCAGCTGCTGAAGGGCCTTTAGGCAGCTTGGCCTTCCAATGGCTTGGTGGAAGCTTAGCTGTTTGGAAAGCTGTGCTGTTGGCATCAATTGCCTCTAAAGTACCTGAACAGTGGTCTCATCAACAGAATGGATTCATCCAAAAACTCATCGTTTCAACTTGTAAATCAGGAGTATTTGAGTTGAAGTTCTGCTTTTGCAGGTCTAAATGCTGTCACTTCACCTTCTCTTGTCCTGAGGGTTTGTGAATGTTGCAGAGCATCACTGAAGCTCATGGGGGAAGTAGCTGTTGGACCTTTACTAATGTTGATCTTGTTCCAAATTGCCTTTGGGAAGTACATCACCTTAATCTTAGTTGTATCTGTTTGGAGAACAGGACCAGTTTTACCTTGCTAACATTACACAAACCTGGTACTAGTAATGTCTTTGTGATTAAATGAAGCTGAGGAATCTGCAGTAATCTGTCAGAACCTCTTCTGTCAGCGTGGGTGGGAATGGAGGTGTGGTGAAATGTGTTGCACCCATGTACCTTGTGTATACCTGTGCAACAAGCAACTCAACTCCGGTGTAAGTACCGTGAAGAGAGCGTGAGGAATTCACTGAAGCTATGGCAGGAGCTTCTAACCTGGCAGGAACATTCACCAGGCTTGGAGGCACCTCGTGCACCTTCTGGGTAGCGGGTCTCCAAACTGGGAACCATTCAGGAGACTTCAGCTATGAGCCAATTGTTCTGCTAGTATGGATTTTCACAATTTTGTGAAGGTGTAGTTTTAATAATTGCCAATCATCAATAATTAACAAATGGATTTATTCTGCTTGCTGAAAAGCTTATCTGTCTGCATTCATTTACCAGGCTGTCAGCTGCTTGGCTTTGGTGTGGGCTGTGCTGGTGGTTTTGTGTTTTGGAAAAGCAAAATGTTATTCATGGCAATCTGAGCAGTGGTGGTGCTTGAGCTGTATAGAGGTGTAAGCTGATACAAGGAAAATCCTGGATGTCTGCTGAAGCATTGCTTGGGGTAAGGGGAAAATTCCTGATCTGAATTGTGTTGATCGTTCTTTTCTTCAGCAAAAGTAGTAGACTCTAAACTTCTGAATTAGACTTTACCCAGGGGTCATAAAAACTTATGGAAGCTCTAGCATAATTCTCTCTCAGCACTGATTGCAATGAGTGCCTTCCCAGTAGTTCCACCCGGAGTCTGACAGCTTGCAGCTGGGAGGGGGTGAATCACGAAATCAGGCTCTCTGGAAAGCATACCATGTACATCTTGCGTTTCTGGTGAGGGGAATTGTATTTTGCATGTGTAGCAGGACCGGAGGGGGTCCTGGCTGGGGCTGCAAATATGTTTAAGATCTGGTTTTACCTTCTCTTAAGGGGAACCTGCTGCCAACCTTGATTTTTTGCCAATTTATAAGAATATGAGATGCTATTTGCTAAGAGAGCTACTAAATGCTGGTGGTAGTGCTCATATCTAAGAGAAGTAAGCCATTTAAAGGCACCGGTCTGTAGGAACTCCTAAGATGCCATTGTAGCTTGGTGACACCTTGCAGAAGGCAGTTGCTAGGCTCAGGATGGTGATGGATACTTGCCAAACGCAGACAAAATCCCATTGGTAGTGTTTTGGTTCATGTCTTAGAACATCGTGCCTTGGAATGCCTTTCTCATTAATACATAAACCCATGCAAGTCAGGAGAAGGGAGCATACCGCAAAAGCTGCTGTTAGCAAGCATGGGGGGGGACTGCTTTGTGCCCAGTACCTGCAGATACGCTGGGAGTAAAACTAAATCTGAGCATGCTGCCTCAGCCAAGCGTTTTCTGACAGCGGTGCTCTAGATCTTCATTGATGACTCCAGGTGGAAACTCGCATTTCAGGTCCTTCACCGATGCTGCTGCATCAGCAAATTTCCCAGGTGCTTCAGGGCATTAAGAAAATTACAGACGTTTTGGTCCCTTTCCGTCGTTTACTGACGGCACAGCAGCGCGCTGGATCAGAGCACGGCCCCGTGTGGCAGGGATTGACTTTGTACTGGGTTTGGAAGAGGGGAGCAGGCAGCCTCAGAGTGTGAAACGCCAGGCTTGGAGGGTGCCTGATGAAAAGAGGTGGCGTCTGCTGGCACAGAAATAGTCCTCTAGCGTGGCAGATTGCGTGCTTGTGAGCGCACTGCAGCGTGAGTCAGCCCTGCGGAGAGGAGGGAGCAGGGTGGCTCTGCAGCAGCAGCCCAGGGGACATGGCCATTAGCAGTCAGGTCAGGCTAGGAAGGGTTAAGGGATGCCTGCTGCTGGATGCTGCCTGCATGGACAATGCCTTCGTAGAGCTTGCTGACCTTTCTCTTTTTTTTTCAACTTTCATGCTGACTTTTTTTTTTTCAAAGGCTGCAGATTTTTCTAATTTTTTTTACTGCTCTGTTGGAGAAGCAATTTTAAGTAAAAGGACTTCATCTGTGATTGCTCAGGATGTCTTTCCTTGGGAGACCTGGTTTACAGAGAAGTGTAGTAACCTGGAAAAGCAAATCAGCTTTGGGGAAGTAAAAACCTCATTAAGAGAAACCAATCCCAGAAACTAAGCTGCTGTTTTCGACTATAGGGTGACAGCAGATGTAATGAAAACAGTAAACCTTGTTTTCTTCACATTCTAACCATGAGAATATTTAGATTTCCTGGCTTTTTGCTGTTTCCATCCAGCCTTACTGTACAAACCATCACTGTTCCTCAGGAGAGAATTACCTCTGACACAGAGGACCTGCCACCTCTGCTCTTAGCCTGTCTCCACTCTACAGGTATTAACCATCTTTTTCTCTTGACATAATTAAATTAAACCCCGAGTAAGGCTTTGCAGTGCCAGTTATCCTGGAGTGGGAATTTTCTGTTTCAGGGTCAAACGATTGTGATTTTCCTGAAAAGCTTCTCCATTTTTGTTCCTCTTGCTCACTAATGAGTGCTGTTCCTTTTCTCTGCAAGCCACGCTTCATTTAGCTCCTGAGACAGTCACGGCGTTGCAGCCTGTGTCACTGCTTTTCTGTTGAGCTAGTTCCTGTATCATGATGCCAAAGCCTGCAGGAAAAAATCCTCCCGCAGCCTTACAGCGTGTAAGGGCCAGAGCTCTCCTCGGGGCCAAGCTGCAGGGTCCCAAGTGCCTCCCACAAAGTGTCTGCAACCACTGACAGTTCTCCCTGGCCTGCGACAGTATGAGCTGGGTAGCAGGAGGGCCTGGAGAATCGGTGGCTCGTGTTTGTCATCTTCCTTGTGCTGAGGGGACGAGATGCACTCACGACAGGCTGAAGTCCTGGCTTTACCAAGGGGATAGTGGTGGCTGTTCCAGTCCTGGGCCCTTTTTTGGCACTTTGAACTGTCCTGTCCTTGCTGTTACATCTGTTCTTTCCTCCTTGGCCTGTGGGAGAGGGTAAAGGCATGACCTCAAGCGGCAGAGTGCGATAACGACCGCCTACACCAAAGGGCTTTGTCTACTTAAGGTAGGCTGAGGACAAAACTTAGGAAATCACGTATATTCCCGAGATTGGCAGCGTGTTCTCAACTCACAGACGTGAACAGCCTCCCTGGCTCTTGTGCGCATTAGACAATTTCTTAGACCTCTGTGAACGCACGTAAAAAATCAGAAGCCAAGGCTGCATATGCACAAGCACTTCCTTTGGCAGCAGTGCCAGCTGGAGCCCGCCCTCTGGACACCTGGACCTTGTTCCACGGCTGTAGCGTGCACTGCCCTGTTTCTCGGAAGTGCGCCGGTTGAACTTCTCATGCTGCCAGGCAGTGAATCTAATTTGGGAACTGAGCCAGGTTAAAAATAACTCAACCTGAAGAAGAAAAACGTTTGCTAAAGAAAATGCAAGTGAAACTACAGTTTGTGATTCCCTCAGCCTGTTACTGGGGCAGTAGTGTGCAATTACTGGTGATCCAAGACAGGGTTAATTTAATACTGAGAATAGGACTTAAGCAGGACAGATAAATGACACAAAGTTGGGCTGGGTGACATACCTACTGCATTGATGAGGAAAATCTCCATACCTTTCATCTCGGCACAGGCTGTTCTGTTCTTCCCAGCAGAGCAGAGGGAGGTTCAGGCCGTTTTCCAGCGTTCCCATTCAGTGGTTGGCTTTGGGGCTTGCAGCCTAGATCCTGCTTGGATCTCTTTGTTGCCGAAGGGTTGGTGAAGGTGTGTCGATGGGGTGGATCCCATGGCAGGATCTTTTATAGTGGCTGTTACTAAGCAGTCAATATTTGCATCTACCTAGATGTCTTCTGCTGCCAAGAAGAGCCACTGTCACAAGTCTGTTAGGATGTAGGTGCATATGGAAGCTGCCCTGTTCTGGCCACAGGCAGTTTGGGTGCTGTAGATGCCCTTTGACATCTGAATTCAGTTTAGCAGCTTGGAAGGGTACTGCCTTCCTCGCAGTCTTTTGCAACGATAAGCAAACCTGAGATCCGCTTTTAGGATTCATTTTCTAATCTTCCAGTTTTGAAGTCTCTTAGACTTCAGCTGTACTGAAGCTATCATTCCCACCAGTATGCTGCTGGGTGCCCCAGACATGGATAATTTCAGCAACAATGAGGAAAACCTGCCTGAAGTTGTTCTTAGACACAAATTCCCAAAACAGTGCAGCACGTAGTCTTCCTGGCCTCAACTAGCATCATTTCCAGCTCTC